CGCTCTTCCATACCAAGCTAGAGAAAAGCAAGTGTATCTATTTTAAAGCCAGATGAGGAAGAGACTCATTATGTACCTGAAATCCCTTTGAGAAGGAAGATGTGGCACAGTGGCCGAAGACTGACTGACTGGAGGTGCCCAGTATAGTCACGTCTGGCAGCGTATTTGCAGCCATTCTGCATTTTAGCATCTCCCAGCATTCAGTCAGGCCCTTCAGGCTCTTGCAGGGGAAATCTTGAAACAGGCAGAGGAATTTATCTTTGGCATTCTTGAAATCTTTTCTGAGCATGCAGAGAAGCAATGTTGTGCAGTTATGTTGGTACCTAAAGGCACATATCTGAGTGTGCTGCTGGCCCCTCTACCGGGGGTGTCTGTTCATGCCGACAACATGAGGCCCAGGGCAAGGAGTCTGGAATCTCCAGCATTATCAGCCAGGCTCCCAGGAGGCTGAGGTCTGTCTGTGTGTGGAGAAAGGGGCTGTGGCATCCTGGGCTTCAAGCAACAGAGCGTGCCGCTCTGCGTTGTGATTAAACCACTGCTGATGGCAAGCATGCCTGGTTTATGTGACAAATAATGGCAAATGTCTTCCTGCTAGAAGACTTTTTTCTTCCTCTCTTGATTTTACCAAGATATTAGTGTGGCTTACTGGATCTGTGAGTTGTGCTGAAGCTATGAACTTGCAAATGATTGTTGTGCTTCAGTAGCCTGGGGTGCATTGTTGTAATTTCTGTTGCAGTTCCCAGGCTGCAGTAATAATAAAGGCCAGTAATAAGGTGTGGATGTTGCATGAATTGACTGTAGTGTAGAAACATGCCATAAACATGTTCTGTCCTCACATATAAGACAAGATTACATGGAGAATTTAAACCTTGTTTTGAAGATTTATACCTGTGGGAGGCCCAAAAAAATGTTTCATCATTTCTCAATGACAGTGTGGACCACAAGGTTTGTGTTTGTGGGTTTTTTGCTGGATTTCCTCAAGACATTTGCACACACCCCAACCAAGAGAAGAAATCCATGTTAAGTAAACACACAGAAGGAGAGAGGAAATGCTGCCCTTTATTCTCCTCTCAAACAGGCTACTGGCTCTGGGAGGTGCTCACACCCCATACAGCTCCAACTCTAAAGCCGGAGCACCCTCTAGTGAGTAGGATGAGCTCTTTGCTAGCAGGCTGCCCAAATCGCAAGGGGAGCGGTGAGACACCCCTCAGTTCTTTGCAGGAATCTTAACCCTGTATTGGGAATAAGCAGGGGTTTGCTTCTAAGCACAGAAATGCCAGGGGAACTTGTGGCCCCCTGTATGCTGTGGGGAGCCATAAAGGAGAAATAGATGTTGCTATTAAATTAGTCCAGATGTGGTTCATAAGTTGTGTAAATCGAATGTAGCTACTGCAGCAGTGTTGATCAAACACAAGAAAGACTCTGTTAACTCTTTTTAATGGTATTACATCTTCTGCAACAAAATATTCATGACCATAATTGTCTAAATGTCTTTATAATGATTTTTCATAAGACTTGGGAAAAGCAAAGAAATAACTAACGGCAGCTAGCAATTTACAACTCTAAATTGGTGCATGGAAGTGAAAGATAACCAAAATGCAATTAACAACCCTGAGTCCTGAGCACGTGGATAAATTAAGCACCAGGACAGATAAAAAAATGATATTATAGTATTAGAAAAATTCCGCTCTTGAAACTGAGTATATTTGTTCTCACAACATTTTTCATTGACATGTAGAAGGGCTGATTTGCAGAAAATGTAAGTTAACTACAGCCCACCTAAGTACATTGTTATGAAACTGAAACTCGTGCTGTGGAAATACACATCCTAAAACCTAATTGCAGCCTTGTCACAGTTGAGTTGGGATAGATTGATACAGACAGTGATTTCTCTGTTGTGTTTCTGTTTACACTATTTTTTATTTAGTACCTATTCAAGATATGCAGATACTCAAGCTTGCATTTAACAGTCTTAAATTTGAAATAACAATAATAAATATTTGTTTTCCCCAGTTTGCTGAATGGTGTTTGGAGTATGGTGCACATGGATGTCGTATTCCTGACCGGCCTTATTCTCTCTTTGAAGGTAAAACGATGGTGTTGAAAATGGTGGTGTATTACACAGGAAAGAAGGACAACCTTGCAGTTTTGGCACATGCTTAGGAGTTGGGAAGTCTTTGGTGGGTTCCTCTACCTATTAAAAATGGACCCACCCCCTACCTCTGCCTAAAGAAAGGAGTGGTGGTGGGAAGGGGGAGAAGAAGGCAAAAGAAAATAATTCACTATCACAACTTTAACTTTTGGCTGCATTTCAGCAGTTTCCAAGGTGAAGCCAGTGCCACTGCCATTCTTGAATACAATTCTGCTGTGCTGATGCCTGCTGGCTGTAAGGAGACAGAAGTCCAGGCAGCAGTTTTGTCACAGGTGGTGCTGCAGAGGGACTGGGTTGAGGAGCAGCTGTGGGCAGGGACTCTCAAAATAGGTGCTGGCTTGTCAGAACTGGACATTCTCTGCTGCAATACTAAAGCAAGGAAAAGCTAGTTTAAATATGAATCAGAGTTCTTAGGGACTTTTCTGTAAGTTCAAAGATGTTCCTTTGTATATACTTTCCTGGAGCTTTGTAATTATTTTATTTGTAGGGGGGTTTTTCTGTTCCCCATCTTACCTGTTTTAGCTGTTTAATGAACAATGGGCCTAGTGTGCCACCTATCACAAATACGTGAAATTGCAGCAGACCGAATAGGATTATTTTACGAATAAACCAGTCCAAGGTGTGAACACAAGAGAGCAGTAGTTATATGCATCTCTTCTAAATACAGAGTAGTTGTCTTAATGTTTAAGGGAGAAAAGTGTAAGTATTCTTATTCCCGAGAGCTCCCTTGCATGCACTTGCAGAGGGGAAAAGCAGGGATACAACCTGTTGTACAAGAGCTTTGAAATTAGCTGAGAAAGTGAGGTAGTACCAACAATAGGACAATTTGTGCTTTAATACTGACATACAGCTTCTATTTTAGTTTTTTAATGTAAGTAATTTTTTAATTTATTTTTTAGAAAAATTTAGAAGTTTCAAGTTTGAGACAAAAAAGTCTTAATTTGGGGTTTTTTTTCTAGCCAAAGTTGTGCTTGAAGTTGTCCAGTTCTGCATGTAAGTGCACACTTTCAGTGGAAGTTGTGTGTGCATCTTACGGGTTTGTCTTAATCATTTCATTTGCATCAGATGCTGTATTTCAGGAAAGTTCCTTTGTTTGTGTGTGCTTAGCTGTTGATAAAATAGAATTTTGGCTTGATCATAAAACTGAGCTTGTATCTGTATACTCTCCTATGTAGGACATCTCTATTGTCTGTCACCCTAAGACTTTCATTAGGTGATGCTGGTGTTGGTGTTCTGGATGACCTCTTTATGAATAGTGAACAAATGAATCTGTGCATCACAAGTATATTGAAGTTTTGCCTTTGTTTTTTTAACCAGTGAAACGATGAGCAAGAGGTGCTCAAATTCTGAGGGACAGTCCAAGTTGGGAATTTTTTTTTTTTTAATTGAAGTAGTATTTAGTTGTGTAGCTGAAAAGATGGTAGCAGAGAGATCTTGGTTCTTGCCTGTGATCTATTCAAGTGAAACTTGGTTTCCTCAGCAAAGTACAGGTGAACTTGACTTGCTATAGGCCCTGATTTCACCTGTTTGAAAAAAAAAATCTAATGAGGAGGTGTTCAAACAGGTGCTGTTGCCCTTACTGTTAACTGTGCTATTTTAGTGTCAAAGATACAGAGAGATATCTTTCCCGTTATGTTTTAGGCATGGCTGGAGCTATTCACTTCCTCTCAGACATTTCGGTACCGGAGACTTCCCAGTTTCCAGCGTTTGAACTTGGACCTCAAAGGAGGGAAAACAAAGTGGAACAGGACAGCTAAAAGATCATTTTGGAAGGAAACTGATGCCAAAAAAAATGAGACTGTTTAGTGCCTCTGATACTGAACCAACTTGGCCCTGAACTGACGGATGGATAAACTCCTTTTCTCACCTCCCCTGCCCCAAAGGACCATGAAGTCAATAGAGCATGAACAGGAGAAGCCACATTTAAGTTCTGTTGAAGTGACGCCTTCAGATGTAGGACAAGAGAAGTCAAGTTTTGAACTTTCTCTCTCCCGTTGTATTTGTCTTCTTCAGGTCTTTGACATGCTCTGCATGTTTATTGGTGTTGTCTGTTGATTTGAGTCTTCTGTTGTTAGCAAAAAGCTGGTCTCTGTGTGAATCTCCGCCCTGTACCTCTGCGCATGACTCGCAGCAGCAGTGTTGCTTTCTGCAGCGTGGTTACCCAGAGAGTTTGCTGCAGGACAGTGCCCAGCTTCACTGCTGAGCTGGCAACTTGAAAAAGAGATTAAAAATGTTCTTATGTTCATATTTTTCTGCATTTTTCTCCACAGTCCCTAGAAGCTAAGGTGATGGAGATGAGCCTTTTTTGATGAAGGGGTATGAGGCCATTTCAGTTTTCAGAAATGTAGCAGGTTGGAAGGGACCTGACTTGTCTTTTGCTGCTGCTGTGGGAGGTATTTTGAAAGCCTGAAAGAGAGCTTCCTTTGATACCTGTACCTGGTTAGGGTGTTAGGCAATTAGAGCAGGATGGAGGTGCTTGTCCCCCCTCTCCAAAGCCTCATCCCATGGCATGAGCTTAACGAACTGAAGGTGGAGTCACCCATGCTGATCTGCTGCTGCCAAGAACAAGGACAGCATAACTGTGCTGCTCCTCTCCTGTACATGGATTTGCAGTAAATGTGTCCTGCAGCATCTAGTACACAAATGAGTAAGGGAGGGTGTCAGGGTAGTTGCTCATGCTGGTAACTCGGGATGACTCCTGCTTTCAAACCAAGGTGTGGTGATTTGCCGTGAGCCCTTCCCTCCCTCTCCCAGTCCTACTGTATTTATCCTGTATAGTATGATGGGAGTGATAAATAGCAGCTGCCTGTGGAGGCTGCAGAAGATTAATGAAACCATTGCTGGAGGCTGTAATTGAAGTTGATTTCATCTTAAAATCCAAACAGAAAAGCCCTTTGCCCTTAGTTTTAACTGTGCTGCTAGTGCTGTGCTTCCCCTTGCAGTGTGGTGAGGTTGTGAAGTACTAGACCTGCCTCCAGGTGCTCCTGAGCATCAGGCTCTTGGTTTGGGAGGGGAAGGCTGAGCACACCCTCACTGGCACAAGCTCTGTTGTCCTCCTTCCCCCAGCTCTCCCTGTGCTCTGCCATTCGAGGTGCTTATTTTGATGGATACCATCTATCGGGTGCAAGTGTTGGAGATGGCAGAGACTGTGACCTTTCAGGTGTGCATTGGGAGATGCATGGCCCATAGGCCGTCGGCTGAGCACCAGTGATTGCAGCCAGGCTTGGAGATGCATTGTTGCTCCTGCCTAAATCTCTGAACAGCAGCGAGAGACTTCCTTGAACTGTATAGTATCTGTCGCTAAATCCATTGGGATGTTGATGATCTCCACATTCAGTTCTGCTGGGCAAGAGCAGCAGTGCCATGGAGGGACAGCTTAATGTCAGAGTGTAGCTCCTCTGCTGGTTTGTCAGGTAGGACTAAAACACAGGAACAGCGAGAAAGACTTTTCCACCCCTCTGAGAGAAGGCAGAAGGTGAGGTGGGAGGCACCAGACCCAGCTGCATCTGTACTGCCTGGGATGAGGGAAAATGCTGAAAAGCAGCAGGAATGAGGGGAGCGGCATGGGTTGAAGCAAACGGGTGCAGAGCAGCAGAAGGTGGAGGAATAGGTGAGGAATGGGGAAAGCAGATTATGGGAAGCAATGCACAGAGTCTACCAGTAGAGGCCATCTCAAATGAGATGTTCCTCTTGGCAGGCATGCAGAAGTCTAACTCTTCTGTTTCTTTCTTCAGTGTGTGGATCGTTGATCCTGCTCATAAATAAGCCAAGGAGGACACTGGCCCAGGGTGAAGTCTCACAGAACTTCTAACAAAGGAGGTAGACAGCAGCTCTGATCCTGTTTCCTATCACTCCTGCTCCTTTTTCCCTTCCCCTTCCCTCTGACTGCAGACCACCCTCACAGTAAAGGGGCTTGACAGGCAGGGATTTTTGTTCAGTTCTTATATACACAGTTGCCTTCCTGGCTGCTGAGCTTGGAAGGGCACCTGTAGGAGGTGATTGTGGCTGGCTGGGAGCCCAAGGGGAATCAGAACTTGCTGGTTTAAAATATATATAGCTATGTACACATTTAGAGCAGCTTCATGCTGAGCAGATCTCTGCTTGTGTGCACCTGTTGAAATAATGAGCAAGTCAGCTACCAGGTCTTTCTGTACCATGGCCAGCCTTCTGCTGTGATGGGGCCTGGCATCGTCCTTCTCCACAGAATGCTCTTGGAATTGAGCAAGACTGGAAATGTAAAGTACTGAGTTGGGAGGCATCTAACTGCGTCTGCCTTGTCTTCCTGACAGAGCTTTCCCCATGGCTCCTCCTTGCTCTTTGTCACAGTGCTGTGGTATCCAGGTGGCCCATTAAGAAAGGATATTGTGTAGTGGTGAAAAAATGCATTCCACCAAGGCATTGTTTTCAGAATCACATCAAACTAAAATGGTGAAAAATGTCTTAATATTCCCTGGTTTGCTTTGTCCTTGTGTACTAGTCCATCTGTTGCAAAAAGCAGTAGTGTTAAAAATGGAGATGCTCTTTGGGCAGAAAAAGAGGAAGAAAATGCTGATGTTTTGTTCTTTGGCTTTCCTAGTAAAGATCAAGCTATGTGGTGGTAATTTGTGTGTGGGTTTGTTTTTTTTTTCCCCCCTGTTGTACTCCTTCCTTTCCTCCAGCACTGTGGTGATGGCTGTCCCACTGATCCAACTGCTGAACTGCTTCCTGATCTCATAGTCCTGCAGGATGAAACACATGCCAGAGAGTGGGCAAAGTGCTTTTTAAAAAAAAAAAGTCACCTTTTACTAGCATCGCAGGCCTCTCCACTGCTGCTTCTCCTGGGAGGTTTTTAGTGTACGTTACTTAGTGCGAAGCATTGCTTCTCTTTCTGGTGACATAGGTCCTGTTGAACAGTTTGCAGCTAAAGCCTGATTCATGACTAGCTGTTTTTTAAGAAAACATGAATGAAATCTCTCTGTCCAGCTGATGAACAGCTGTTTTCCAGCTTTGAGAAAGCTTGCTATTTTTCTCTAGCTACACTTCAACAGATAACTTTAAGTATGCTGCAAGCAAGAGGCAGTGTTTCTGTTTCACAAAGCCCCATACACTTCTCATGGCCCTCTTTGCCACTGAGAGCAAGTGCTGCTGCTTTGAATTAATAGCATTATTTCTGGTCTGTAGGTGGGGACCTGAAAATAATCTCAACAAATTCAGTTGTGGGTAGATAAAGGTGCAGGGGCTTTTCTAGCCCAACAGTTCTCTGTAAAACAAGGTAGAGGTGGGAGAAAGCATACGTAGGCTGCATGTTGGGTAATAGCTAGGCAGCAGCATCCTGCCTGAGCCCTGTCCCATCAGGGTGTGCTGATGGAGCAGTCTTTTTCCTGGTGAAATTGTTCCCTGTTCTCCTATTTGTTTTACCTGTGTCATGTTGACTCCCAGGTGCAGGAACCCAGTTTCTGCACAGCACAGCAGCTGTGATTTGCATGCAGGAAGCAGCAGTGACCTGGGTTTAGCCACTGCTGCTGCTCGACATCTGCCAGTGGGCTGCTGTAAATCCAGCTCTAGCTATTAGATAAGCTAGGGTTAGGCAGCAGGAGAAAAATACAGAGAGATGTAGGTAAGAGATACATACACACATCCTTGTGCCTTCTCTCACTACATCAAGCCAAAATAACCCATATGTGCAGCTGCCTTCAGCTGCAAGGGCTGACCTATGTGCCAAAAAGTGGCTGCTTGGAGAAATACACATCAGATTAACCCATCTGAGGGTTTTGGGGTTGGTTGACTGAAGTAAGGAAGAAAGAGCAGTACTTCCTTTGCTTCTTTGTGTAGTCTGAGGAGCTCGTTGGAAAATGTAGTCCCAGCTGTTTGCTTTCACAGAATGTAAGCTGCCACACGGCTCTAAAGACAAGGAGAGAAAACAAAAACCCACCCAGAAAACAAAAAAGCTTGTCACTACATTATCTTTTCCCAAAGTGATAATGAAACACAGGTGCAGCTGTGCCAACAGAAATGGCAGTGCTGGTGCCGGGTGTCAAGCCCAGTCCTGTTTGCAGCATAGCTGATGAGGCAGCCTCCTAATTACTGGGAGACACAGCAGGCACTGCAGGTTCCCCCTCTCCTATGAGCAGTGGGGCACCCAGTCACACCAGGGAGGAGGAGGAGAGATGCAAGAACACAAATCCATCAATAAGATTGTGGTGCATTAGTGGCTTCAGCCCAAGGCTGCTGCCTTGGTGGGCTCCCTTGCCCACACCTTGGCAGAAGTGTCTCAGGTGTCCTGGGCCTGACAGCGAGTGCCAGGGCTGTGTACTTGCTGGAAGGCTGAAGAAACAGCAGCAGAACTTTATGATTCCTCAGACTGCAATGAACTCACTTCACTCACAGAACAGTAGGGATTGGAAGGGACCTCCGACCAACCCCCTGCTGGAGCAGGATCACCTGGAGAAGATCCCAGGCTGGTTTTGAATGTCTCCAGAGGACACTCCACAATGTCTCTGGGCAGCCTGGTCCAGTGCTCTGTCACCCTCACAGTAAAGACCTTTTTCCCTATGTTTAAGTTGAACCTCCTGTGTACTAGTTTGTGACCGTTGCCCCTTGTCCTGTCGCTGGGCACAACCGAGAAGAGTCTGGTCCCATCCTCCTGACACCCGCCCTTTAGATATTTATAAGAATTGGTAAGATCCCCTCTCAGTCTCCTCTTTTCCATGCTAAACAGACCCAGCTCTCTCAGCCTTTCCTCATGTGGGTGATGCTTCAGTCCCCTCATTGTCTTAGTGGCTCTGTGCTGGACTCTTCCAAGGAATTCCCTGTCATTCTTGAACTGGGGAGCCCAGAATTGGACACAGTATTCCAGATATGGCCTCACCAGGGCAGAGTAGAGGGGGAGGAGAACTTCCCTTGGCCTACTGACCATGCTCTTCTTAATACACCCCAGGATGCCATTGGCCACCTTGGCAGTGAGGGCACTTGTTAACATAGAGCCTTCCCTTGATACCACATAAGGCAGCACCTTGGAGGGAAGGCACTTTATGGGAAGAAAACTTACTTTCCTGGGAATAAAAAAACAAACCCACATCATCTCCTGAGGTCAGGAGATGCTCTGACAACAGCCAGCCCTTGCCTTCAGCATAAGCCTGAGGCAGTTAGAGCCATGTCACCAGGGGCTGAGGGATGAGCTTTAGTCTGAGGGCTCAAAGAGGCTTTACAGCCTTGAAGGACAAAAAAACCAATCCCCATTGCTGCTTTTCTTCTGAGTAGGGATCAGCTTGAATGAGAAATCACTCTCCTGCAGCAGGGCTGAAAGGAGAGGTGTAGAGCATACACGGGGAAGGGAGGGGGAGCTGAAGGAAAGTAATTCCCAAAGCCTCTTGGATCAGACAGGATACAGAGCATCTGTGAGGCTGGTCCCATGAGCATGGAGTTGTTCTGCAGCCCTGCTTACTCCTGACAGTAGCAAGTTAGAAGCAGAATATCCTTCTTCACCTCCCCATTGAAACCACAGCGACCCACCAGCAAACCCCAGCTGATGACCAATGTCTGTGTAACCCCCAGAGCATCGTGCACAATGCTCAGGGTTCAGTTTTACCCTTAGAGCACTCACCAGGTAGGCAATAATCCAAAACAAATCTCAAGGTGTTCTGGTATCTGTAGCCAGACTGGTCTAATTAGTGACCTGAAAAAGACTCGAGGAATAAACCATTCTGTTGGCCTAGGGAGCAGACTTCACACCTTGCACCACGCTGGCCTGGGAGGCACGGGGCTGGTGGAAGGGAGGCAGGGCAGCACCAGCTGCAGAGTCCATTGGGAGGAAGGGTGGATGGGATGTTGGTCACACACAGCCTTTTCTCTCAAAGCTGTGCAGTTGGAGATTTCACTGTGGCAGAAAGGCACTGACTCCCATCTTATTCCCATTTCTGCCAGGGTCACAGCAGCAGAGAACTCAAAAGGTTTACTTACCCATCTAGGCACGTTCCCCCTGATCACTGCCTCCTCACAGGTACATCAGACATGAAGAAAGGCTTGGCTTAAGCATCTCCATTCTGCCCAAGCCCTAGTTTCAAGATATTTAAACCCCACTGTATTAAACACCTTTGCCAGACCAGGAGACTGATCCCCACAGCACATTAAATCAACTGCCTGATGCAGAAGGCAGGTGGGGAGTCAGCTCCGTACCCTGCTGTGGTTCTCCTGGGAAGGGGTAAGGTACATCCCCACAGCTCCCAGCCACCAGCACCAACCTTATTTCTTAGTCAAAATACCACCCTGCCTCATCAGTGGGACACCAAAATCTCTGTTTTGTAAGAGGACACAGTAGCAGCACCCAGAGAATCCAACACAGGAATCCTGACAGATAAAGCATGAACACACCACAAGGAAGTTTGCATTAGTGAAGCTGCAGTGGCCAGCAGCTCCTAGGACATCCCTACTGCCAAGTCCCGTTGGAAGAGGAGATTTTTCCATCACCTGTGGGACTGTACACCTGATCAGTCACCACTGCCCGCTGGGGAGAAGTAACCCTGTCCTTTCCAGGAGTGGGGCTGTATCCCGTGTTTCACATCTGGCTCACTGTGCTGTGGAGCACAAACCTGCCAGTGGCATTAGCCCTGCCTGCTCTCCTCCTCTGCACACAAGAGGTCACACTCTGTACTACAAAAAGCTTCAAACATACAGCTCAGGAAAAAGCAATGAACAGGGCTAGAAGTACAGCAACATCCAAGCTTACTTTAGTAAAATGCATTTCAAAGGAAAGCCTGCACAGGTTTTATGAGCAATAGAAGCCCCTGAGACTATGGAAAGACCTGCTTCTGCTCCATCTGTCCTCCAGCCCACCGACCAGCCTTGCAAAATGTGCAGCACACACTCCCAGTCAACTTCAGACTGTTGCCCTACCAAAAGTTACAAGGTTTCTCCCTACTTTTTTTATTTTTTTTAAACTGAGAGGGGAAAAAAGGCAAAAAAAGCCTAACAAAAAAAACGCCTAAAAATTTTCAAAAGCAAGGGAATGAAAGGCACGTATACAGTTCACAAGCAATTCATATGGATGCCCACAAAGGTGCTGCATTTTCAAGAGTAGAGCAAGGGAGTTTGCTAGCAGAGGAGTGTGTTGTAGGAGGTAGTGGCATTCACCAATGCTAGCATACAAACCAGTCAGACTTCAGGAAAACTTCACCAGAAGTTGAATTTCAATGTACAGAGTAAGAATTCACTATAAAAGGCTCCTATTCAACGTGAACGCCAGCTCTCAGAGTTACATTTCATAATTGCCCTGGATTTGCTGGGGTTGAATTGTAGAATTCCCTTTTAATGCTTCAGTCAGGTGGGATTTTTGATGAAAGTGCGGTGTTCTCTGATAAGGTTATTTTCATTCTTACTGGCAGATATTTATGTTTTTCAAGGCTTTGCCTGTGCCTGTGTTTATAGTTTCTTTTGGGTTTGTTTTTTTTTCCTCTTCTCTCTGCACAAGAGAAAAAGGGGGAAGCAAAAGCCCAGGACTCTCTGGGACAGGTGACCCAGGACAGATGATCCTGGTATGATCCAAGCTGACAAATAAAGATGTATTCTATCCCAAAAACGTCATTCTCACCATAAACTGGGGAGCTTTAAGGGGACAACCCCTTCAACGCGTTCCCCCTTCTACTTCTCCTCTTCAGCCCCTTCAACCCCTTCCCTTCTCCTCCATGATGGTGGCCCATCTTGGTTCTGAGGTTTACCCCTCCCACTGCATTTTTCTTTAGTGTACAGCCAGGAGCTGCCTTTTGTGAGCTCAGTAAAATTTTGACTGCTTCATTATCATTGTTGCTATTCTTGTTATAATTAATTGGTACTATTATTATTATTTAAGTTTGGGTTGTTTCAGTTATTGAAAGGTCTTTATCTCAACTGATGAGTTCTTTACTTCTAATCTCCCAATTCTTTCCCCCATCCCACTGAGGAGCAGGGAGTTGAGCGAGCATGCTGCAGTGTTTAGCTGCTTGCCAGGTTAAACCATGAGAGTAATACAAAAGGACTTAACAACATCTATCTACTAACATGAGGTCTGTGGTCATTTCTAGCTGACAGAAAAAGAAAGGCTGGATTTGCTTTTTAAAAATTATGTCCTGTATACACAACCATATTCAGTGACATACACAGCTTCAAATGTCAAGTGCACACTAGTTTAGAAAATATAATTTTCAAAGGAAGCAAACTTGGAAGCATGCTCCCACTCCTAACTGCCATTATTTTCCAATTTAGGGAAGAAAACTTACCTACATATTTCAGTGTTTCTGGCTGTTCTGCCAAGAGGCACAAGTACAAGTAGCTCTGAGGTTAATAACATCTCCCTCTCACTGCTGACATTTAGGTCTTTGGCTGTTTCATACAATCTCACTGCTGGCAAAACAAGGGGAGTCAGGATGCCAATCACCCAGGCCGAGTCCAGGTGCTGGCCAAAACATGCTCAGGTCCTGGTCTTTGCCTTTAGATGCAGCATTTAATGTAATGACTCCCTCTTTTCTAGGGCACTTGGCAAAGCCCCTGCCATGACTCAACCAGTGCTGGTGTTCCAGTCACTCACAGGTTTCTATCACAGCATGACTGTGCTGTGCATCAAAACCAAGTATTCCTGGAAAAAACGTGCATGGAAAAGATGGTGGCCACCATTTCTGGTAAAAGCATTGCCCTGCTTCTGCTCCTTCTACCCTCTTTCTCTGTCATTTCCCTTAGACGAAGGTATTTCTGCTATGAGAGTGCACACTCTGAGGCTGCATAAAGAACTGTTACTAGTAGCCTGCCACAACGCAAGTAAACCCACGATTGAAACGAACAGTAAATAAAGAGAAAGACATACAGGTTTTAAATATAGGTTTCCATTAAAAGCATTACAAAGACAACTTCTCTCATTTTAAGACAAAGAAAAAATCCACTTCTACTAAAAAAAAAAGAAAAAAGAAAAAAATTTAAAAATCACCCCTTTGCAAGTAAATTTAATGAGGAAAGGTGCAGGGAAGGGAGGGAGAGAGGACTTGGAGAACTAGCAAGTGTTCAAAAGGGCGGATGCCCTCCATCTCGGTCATTTTGCAATGGCACCTTCTTCTCACACAGTCAGGTCAGAGAGCCAGAGAGTCCTCATGTGGAGGATTTCACCACCTGCTCATAAGGGGGAGGTGGTGTGTTGCAGTAGGAAGGTGGGGGTGGGTAAACCGGGTTTCCTTGTGGGGAATTGGGCTGGACGTGGAAAGCCATAGCCATGGGATTCATCACAGGTCCACCTGGATCTGTGTAATACGGCACTCCAGGTTGTTGTGACCCTGAAAGAAAGAAAAGGAGAAAAAAATGTATCAGCAACTGCAGTGACATCAGGCAGCAGTCGTGCTCCTCCAGGGCCTGCACTCAGCACACTTGGACAAGTTTTCTCAAAGTGCTCAACGGAACAAAGTCAAGGAGCCACCTTTCTCCCATTGCAGAAAAATCCCAGGCTTGTGGGACTACGTTCACTTCTTGAGATTTCACCATGAAGTTTCCATTTTGCATGCAACAGAAATAATTTACTAAAACACGGGGCACCACTGCCCCAAGTGACTGCCATTTGAAAGGGCAAACAGCGAGCGTGGCTCAGTTCCCTGGACAGAAAAGCTGCCATGCCTGTGGAGAGGAGAGGCATGGGATCTCAGACGGACAAAGAGGTTTCCACTGCAGCCCTGGCTCGGGTGCAAAGTCTGAGGATAGGGCTTCACTAGTTATTTTGTAATGTACTCCATCTGCTTGTGTGCCAGACTGCATCTCAAATAGGTAATTTCCCTTCAAGGCACAATACAGCTAAGGAGTAAACATGTATGAAGCAAAAACCCAAGCTGAAGCCAATTATCGCTAGCTGACACAATAGGACAAGATTGCTTTGCACAGATTAAATTTAGGAAATGATGTTGGAGTCTGTAGGGACAAGGAAAGGAAATGTATGATCAAATGCAAAATTCCTAGCCGTGACACATGAGGAGTAACAGAGACTGCTGCCACGAGAAATAACAAAGGTGGTGTGTAATCCTCCTCAGATACCACAGTGGGTGCTGGAAGACAACTGAATACAATGCCATCAATTAAAGCCACAGACTGTCTCTATCTCAACGTGTAAATTAGTTTTCTTCTCTTTATTTAAATAAAGCTGGACTGAAAAGAATCATGGCTGAGCAACAGGTCTTCTTTTGGTGCTAGTCTGTTTTTCCTATAATACAGCCTCTGAGAGATTTTCCCCCTAATCATTTCTTTCCATGACTTAGTGACACTAGGACTCAATATTGCCACAGAAGGAATACAGGCTTCTTGAAGTTTTAAGCATCCTTTAGTACTTCAAACATTCAGGAAGGACTTACATACCAAACCCAAAACCATGTCCTTATGATATTAAATCAGATGGGTTGAGCTATAAGGCATGGGGATACAAACTGTTCCAGAGCCTGGGGTGTCTGCCTTGGGAGCAAAGAGGATGGAAAGCAGATCAGGAACAGAGCCATTACCTTCTTAGCACAGTAATTTTTAAACACACCACCACAGTAACTTTTCCTTTTGCCTGTCTGAGGGAAGAGGGCTGCTCTGCAGCCTCTCTCCTTTTTCCACAGCAACGAAGCCCTTGTTCTGCTTCCATGTATAGCATCAGCATATGGGAACAGCTCAGTATTTGTAAAGTGTCTGCAAAGGGACTCGACCTTTTCTAGCATCTGAACTGCCAGTTTGGGGCTATGTAGGCCAGACCTAAAGTGAAAGACACCACCAGGTCTGCAAACTGCAGTTTGTAGGTGAGGTATTCAGTCCATTTTCCCAGTCGGCCCCAGAGAAAAAGCACTCCCACCTCCAGGCTCCTGCTGGGATGGCAGAAGATGCTGCCGTTATCACTGCAGAGGGGGGAGATGACCAAGGAGCCATCTTTCAAGGGCTCTACCTCAACCATGAACTGGCTACTGCTACCAAATCTGGCAGAGGAGCTGGAGGAAAATGTGAACTTGGTTGACTACTAATTCCCATTGCTTTTGCAGCTGAATATTCCTAGAATACTAGAAAAAGTAGGAAAAAAATTTGGTGAGGTTAGCTCAGAGTCCAGAGCTTTAAGAAACAGTAGTAAGTCTGGAAGCAGGTGGCATAAGCAGGTCACCAAAGAGCTCGTTCTTGTTTTATATTTACCCACAATTTGTGTTCCATGAAAAACTAAAACCATGTTCTAAAATTAAATCTGATATTTGTCGATCCAGCCCAAGATTATCCCTGTTCACATAATCCTGAGGTTATTTTTCAGGCTTAAAAATATAGTTCAGTTAGATTGGCTCCCTCCCCACTGTTGAAAAATAAATACTCTCTGTGGAAATGGTTGTTTAGTCAATCAGAAAAAAAAATGCAGAATAGAAGCCCTAAAAAAACCTCTTAGGATTTAAAAAAAAGAAAAGGGTGAATAAAATGTTAGTTTGTGTCTGTAACATCTTTTTATCCATTTAGACCTGTGCGTAAGAGAGGGAAAACACATATCCATGGGTACATGGTTAAGGGTGCAAGAAAGAGCATTTCCAAAGTCTGCACAAAGGACATGGGTGTGCAATAACAGGCATGACAGGGGAGAGGGCCCGAATGCCGCCCCTCTGCACCACGCTCGTAGTTTCAGCTACAAAGACAGGGGTTCAGGACACTTTTCTAAAGAGGCTGCCTTGATGCAGCTGCAGTATTGCACAGGGATGTAACGGTTCAGGAGATGATTTTTGATAGACAGGTTTGAGGTAGCAAGTTTTTGGAGAGATCCCCCTTCTCATTACATAATATTCAGTTGTATTTCTACTTCCAAGCCAGTATGACACAAAACCAAATTGCCAATTCCAAAAAAAAAGTTGTCAGAAAAGGTAATTATCCTCTGGCTTCAGCTCTGTCTAATCCAACATGCAATAAACTAACAGTCCAGGAGGAAAAGCATCCATGTACCAAGCGCACTTGCAGATATGTGTGCATGCTTTTGCTGGCACAAACTAGCAGTGGCTTGTGAAAGCTAGGGAGTGGTTAAAAACATCTCCGTTTGCCCTTGCTGAGGCAGGGAGAAGGCAAGGACCCAAGCGTGCACTCAGATCTAATCTCAATCTTCCAACTAGAGACAGCTGCATTCAAAATGCGCCCATAAAGCACAAACATCTTCTGCTCACAGGTGAGTCTTTTTTTGCAGAATCCTCCCAACTGGGATTATCTAGCAGCCAGAGGGGAAGAAATAGCAAACTTAGAAAGCAGTATTGGCAGAGAAGCCATTACTACGTAGATCCTCCTGAAGCTCACTGCCATTACCAACCAGAGAAACCAACTAGCAAGGGGAGAAGGACCACTCTGTTGCAGAAAAACTGTAGTACAGAGCATGGAAGGCAAATAAAAAAGGGAAGACTTGCAAGACAGCCAGACTGTGGAAGAAAAATGTTAGGCTTTCCTTCACCTCTGCCAAATGTTTTCAACTGTATTTAAAACTCTTTCTTCATGGCACTTTTCATTTTGGATACCTATAATTTTGCCTACGCTGCAAAGTGAGAACTTGCTCTCCTCCTTTCATGTACGGACACACAGCTGTAAAGGTATTAGGAACCACAACAGAAAGGAACTGAAAGTCCTGTCATCCTGGGTGTCAAAAACACTTCTGTACATAGCAGCTGAATTACATTGCTTGGAAGGCAGAAGACTTCACTCATCACAGGAGGTGGTTGCATGGTTTAGTGCAGTCCAAATCCCACTGTTTCCCAAAATCAAACAAACAAAACTGCCAAACCCACCCTTTTTCAATGCTTCGGCAAATATAAGAAATTAGTGAAACTTGTTTAATGAGCAGTCTCTGACCTGATGCAGTGTTGACTGGTTGTCTGGTGTAAGACACGTTAAAAGCAGGTTCTTCTACTAGTGGAGGAGCGTACATCCGCCTTCGGATGAAGAAACCAGCTCCGCAACAAAACAAAACTCCCATCATCAAAAGGAACCTAGGCAAAGAGAAGAGGGAAGTCAAAACCCACCTGCAGTCAGGCAGCTCTCACACCAGACTGTTCGTTGAGAGAAATGAGAGTATAATCCAGCAATCATCAGCCTACAACTTTCATTGGAGTCTGTTAAATAGGCTGTCTCTTGAGAGCAGGCCTATGTCCTTTGAGAAAGCACTCACAGATATATTACAGACATCTTTAGCAATTAGTACTATTGCCTGATGTTTTCTGGCATGTAAAGTACAAATCTAAAATGCCCTTGAACTTTTGTAAATTTCAGGTTCATACCTGACCTTTGCCACTGGGATGCTGAACTGAAATTCCAAGTCGATATAGTTTCAAACTGCACATCTTGGACACAAGCCTCGTACTTACAGCATTGAGGCTGGCCAGGAGGTTTGTAGGGGTCAAAGAGGAATACTATTCTGCAGTTGCCCTTAAAAGAAGATTCTTTAAAGAATCTGTTAAAAGAAGATGTTCTTAAATTGCTCAACACTGTAATTTTGTCTCCCATGGGAAATATGGTAGCTGGCATTTCAGCTCAAGCCAGAAGACTGAAGCACTCAGCACCGAAGATGACAAGCTTTGCTTTGTGCTTCCTAGACAGAATATACATTCTCAAGAAAAAGGACGTCCTTTTGCTTCAGTTTTTCTCCTCTCAGCTCTTCTTCTGACCTGGCTAAACTGTCCTCATCACTCCCTTGCCCTGGTGCTGTGGAAACAGCAGGGCACCTCAGAAGACTTTGTTCTTCAGATAGTGGCTTTCACTGTGTTTCTTTGATTCGTTATCAGATGCAAGCTCCCATAAAGGCAGATGGTTCTTCTGCCTGAAATTGCCACCCCATTTCAGGGCCCAGGGGCAACCCATGGTGTGTACAATGCTTATGTCCCCTGGAGCATTCCCAGGTGCCCAAGAGGAAGAGTGTGACGCTGCACAGTACCAAGAGGTATTTCATGGAAAGGGTCAGATGCTGTTCTTGTTTCTGTGGTGGAAACAAGAGCAGAAGGAGGTCGTATTTCCCTGAGCCAATATTAATACATTCCTTTTTGGCAGTGTTCCTGCAAGGGATTTGTTCTGAACAGAAAAACAGAGATTTACGACGTCACCCCAGGGATTGAGATGCAGAGCTCTTCAGTTATATCAGCAAGGATTGTACACTGAAATCCCACAGTCAGCTTTGGGAAATCTCAGTATTATAGCATATATCAGGTTTCTGTTTTTCAGTGTTTATTCTTTTCAATTTTGAAGGTTTTGGATTTTTTTTAAAGAGGTCCTCAAATTCTATCTAAAAATGCCTGAAATCAGGTTTCTGAGGAGAGTTTTTGCTTTCTCTCTACCGTAATGAGAAGGTCTTAGTCAGGTGCTTTCTTAAATTCCTCTCTGAAATGAATTTACCTTATTTTTTTCATAATGCATATAACAGTGATTAGTTTAAGCTTTATCCAGATTACTGAGCTGCTGGTTTCATGACCTCAAATCTTTCTGCCTTCTTTTCCCTTGCTGTCATCTCCAGTGCAATCCTTGTAGTCATAAATATACTCCACTTCCTTTTTAATTGAAGTCTCAATTCAGCTAGCAAGAATATTTTAAACCCTGCCTAAATGTACAATCCTCCTTATACAATCCTCTTTTAAAACTGAGTGCCCAACAAAAACGGTCAAACGCTGCCACCTGGTAGTAGCTAGGACAGGCATAAGGAGTTCAGCAACTTTGGATAAAAGCATAACCACTGCCTGTACAGACCAGCAGGATCCAAAAGCAGAAAGGGTCAAACTGACACAAGTAAACCTCCGTTTTCAGTGTTGTCTCACCATATTGGGAGAATTTTATATGCAAAAAAACCAAAGCCATTGCACTTTACGCATACTTGTACCTACTTTACTTTAAAATACTAGGGCTGCCAACACCTTGATGTGAGTCCTACAAACAAGACAAGAACAGGACAAACATAAAATTCCCCAGTGCCTTGACCTACCAAAAATACCATAGTCGCTGGATAGAGAGAGCTCTTACGCAGCATCTTGAACCACAGCAGTCCTCATAGGAGCGACATCTGCAGAGAAATAAAGAGAAAAGGGCGTTAGGGGAGTGGTTGTCACTCAGATTAAAACAGCATCCCCAACTCTGATGCAGTTTGCACCCCTGCCTGAGGTGTTATTTACGACATCTCCATGAGCCTGGGAGGCAAAGCCTCCTGGAAGTGTTCATGGCCAGGTTGGAGCAACCTGGTCTAGTGAAAGATGTCCCTGCCATGGCAGGGGAGTTGGACTGGATGGTCTGTAAAGGACCTTTCCAACTGAAACCATTCTGTGAGTCGAAGAATAAGTTGAATAAAGCCGGATAAGGCTGTCAATCACAGGTACACATCCGTGGCACAGCTCTATCGCTATTCAGGAATTTTTTGCATGTTATTGAAACTACCTTCCTATATTCTGCTTTTAAAGCCACCTCAAAAAGACTGAATGTAGTCGTTTTATGTAGAATTAAACACCTGTTACAAAGAAAAGCTGCTTGAACACTGCAGACCTCAAACATGAGCCATTTGAGGTGTTATTCACTGCAACAGACAAGAATTGCAAGGTCCAAACTGCCAGATCACTCATTCTTTGCAAATCAAAAGCTTCCAAACAGAGAAACCACCAAGCGCAGAGAAAACTTCAAACATACCATTATTTGCAAATTTAATGGCATTTTTTGCTTCTCAGAAGTTACACTGGACTGGAACTCCTATTATTTAGGTAGGCTTTCCTCTTAAAAAAACTGCTACATTTCAAATCAATATTTCATATGGAATATAACCGTTTAAAGGTATTGTAGCACCAACTGCCATAAGCACAAAGTACAACTCCACTGAAAGCCAGCACATACATCCAGCATCCTCTGAACAATTTCTATGGCAACTGCCATTTCCCACACAAATGAAACACTATGTACTTAGTAGGAAAAAGGACAGAGGTAACACAGAAACTATGGAATGTGATTAACACATTCAGATTAGCATATCCACACGCCAAAACAAAAGAGGAGGTTACCATAACTTAATCCATCTTTTTAATGGTATTCACATCTGTATGCTCAATGCACAGATTTAATTAAGCATCTGGTTTTGGAAAATTTGCCCAACTGCATGACTGTGCTGCATATTTGTACACAAAGCTAAAAAAAAATCCATTTTATAATTGTACAGACAATTACACATTTACATGCTCAATTAAGAAGCCTTCACTCACAAAATACATCAAGTCACATAGCCTTCAGCCTCTAATTGGGGCCAGAGAAGGATGCTCCATGGATACATAATCAGTTGCTTTGCAAGCGAAAACAGTTACACGCTTTTCTGATGACAAGCAGGCAAGATTTTATTTAAGCAAGCCAGAGGATCTGACATGATCAGCTCAGCAAGGTCCATTAATGCACCCAGGCACCCAGTCTGAGACTCAAGCAGACTAAGTTGCTCATGCCAAAAGACAAAACACCCACTTTGCCACCCCTGAACCTGAAAGCAACTCAATCTCCAACTTTTCTTCTTCAGAGCTTGCCACAACCCCAACAACTGCTCACACTGATTCAGAGCTACCAGAGCTCACAAAACTACTAACAAGACTTAGTAAGTCAGCATTAACTCCAGTCCTATTGGGACCAAGAAATTAAGCACCCCTCCAGGCTACTCAAGTGGATCAACACAACAGGAGCTTTCAAGACATATGTTAAATGCATGGACAGGATCAGATCCCTCATGAAATTGAGTAGCAGCTGCTGCCTTCTGTCAAAAGAGTGGTCAGGGTACCCTTTTTGCTCTTTAACGTACTCATGGTTAAAATGCCTCATGCACGTTGATGGGCACTTGCTCTTTTCGCTGATGCTGTACAGCAAAGACTTTCTAAGGTTTGTTGGGCCAGAAAAGCAGAGAGGAAACAGAGCCTTCTCCCAGATCAAGCCTCAAGAGCTTAACTTGTGTTAAAAGTTAAGCTAAAACAGAGAGCCCAGAGAGGCTGCACGTACACCTCCCCTGTGCCCACCCTTGCCTCACTTATTTTGCATCTGTTTTCTTCAGAGCAAGAAGAGATGGGAAAAGGTTATTTTGTGATATATAATTATGGTTGTTCAAACCACCAAAATTAAAACAGCATCTGTATGGTGAGCACAGTACCTGAGTTTACTTTTTATTTTTAATCTCCAAATAGTCCAGACTACAAGTCAGCATAATTTTTAAGATCTCAGTGGCTTAGCTTTTCTTCCTGCAAAAGAGGGCTAAAGTACCAGCTGGAAGACAGAAAGGCTCAACTGCTGAGTGTTGATGAAGCTCCCGAGACCACCAAATGGCAAACATAGAGCCCATCAAAGAGAAGTTTCATCTCTACATGAATGATTGCATTTTCAAATGGCTGAAAATGATGATGCAAAGACTAGAGGAGTCTCTCATGGTGGCTGTTTTTAGAGAAAAAGCCATTTTACAAAAGCCAGTAAGCTTTCTGAAGTAACTCATCCAATGCTAAGCACTGCATTTGCTGGGTGGATCTGTGAAGCCAAACCACTATCACAACTCAGAGGCAAATCCCTTGGATATTTGATGCTAGTAACCCTTTAACTTTTTACCCATTTTGTGTACACGGACACATGCACCCATATGCATGAGTCTGGAATCAAGGATGATGCCATGACAAGACTCTGCTGTTTGTGTTCCCCAGCGGCACCAAAAATGACTGGAAGAACAAACAGCCCGTTTGCTGATGCTGCCTTCAGGGTACCATGGAAGCTCTGCTGATCCCTTGTTCTTGGTTCAATGCGCTATGAAAAAACACCACAATTTCTGCCAACATCAATCCCAGATACAAGAAAATTACCTTACTTACAAAAGTAAGCAAGCAGGTAAAAGCAAGCAATAAAATTAGCTTATTAATAGAGTAAAACACAAGCTTAAGTATAACCAGTCTTTGATGTACTCTTTCTTACTGCCTCTCAGCAGAATTAAGACCTTGGTTCAGAAAAAACCAATTGAGCACATACATATATTTATTGAATTGATGTGTGTATTCTTCAAATTACACTTGTGCTTTGGCTCTGCTTAACGGGGAAGGACTGATTGTGCCCAACACCAGCTGAAGAACAAGCGTTACTATCAATCTGAACTGGACTGAGCCCATCACACACAGAAGACATTTCTAAAGCCAATTTCCCTCTTTCACACACCAATGATGATCCCAAGAACTGCATTTCCCTAGGACAATGCTTGTTTCATAGATAAAAATTTAACCCATTCTGTAGGATAAGATATGATCCATTAGTTATTTTGCTAACCTGCAACTTCACCAAGCATACAGCCTCTCTTCTGAAAACTGTGCAATGTGATTTATGATTCAGAAAGTACATCTTTTCATTCATAATTCAGAAGAGTGAAATGAATGCATCTGCATCTCCAATGACTGTACTGCTAGCACACCAAGGAACTGCTATGTCAGAGATCAGGGTTACAGTGCGTGTCAGATCACAGTGACAAGCTTCTTGTACGGGTTTGCACTTTAATCGTGACACTGAACTTCTTTCCTTAATGGAAAAGCACAGCACAAAGTTTCACATAAGGGTAACTGGTATGGCTCAAACCTCACGAACAAACCGCATACTTATGTGTTCTGCAGATAATAACTGCTCACTGAAATGGTCCAGAAGCTTTTTTCCATTTATACCTGCATCTACACAGCTGAACAAGTCCTTTCTTAGCAGAGCTGCCACAGAAAAAACTGCATCTAAAAATAATTCCCAGATTGGCACTTGCTGAAAACTAGAGAAATTAAAGAGGCAAAACAAGGATTATTCTTCAGCAGACTATATGGCCACAGTGGCCTGACAAGGTTCCCTGTCTTCATGCAACATGTATTCCCGATCAACACCATCCCTTTGAAATGCAGGTTGTAGCCTTCCCAGGTTTCCTCTCTAGACTGCTTGTGTCATACATGCCAAAACTTGGTATAACATTTAAGATGTTTTATTAGCAACGTATTTTGGAAGAGTAAAGGAAAATATAAATTGTCAATCCACATGTAGTGGCAGAAACCCTACTGTAGACACAGGGACAGAGGATGGGAGGGTGAAAGAAAACTTCAAAACTCCCACAACAACCAGATACAGTAAACTGCATGATTTCTAACCAGTGTCCTGAAGACAAGCCTGACCTTAATTCCAAAAAAGGCTGCATGCCAGTCATTGGTGAAATAACTGCTGTGTGTAATAAAATGTGTGTAATAAAACGTGTAAGATATATGACACAAACTGAGATTCACTGGAATACAAGAAGCACTGGCAGTTTTTGAATTGAGGAGAGGGCGGGGGGGGGAACGAAAGAGAACCAAGAAGTTAAGTAAAGGAGGGTGTAGCAAGAGACCAAAACCAAAAACAGAAGAGAAAATATTTTGCTGGAATGGGTAGTAGCATCAGGTGAGGCTAAGGAAGTCCCAGCTATGGTCCTAATACTGGCACAGGTAGAAGACAAGAAGGAGAACCAGAAGACCTCACAAGAACTGGAAGGGATGGATGGCTAAAGACTGGGTCACCTCCAGGCAGTCTTAATGCCGAGTCCTCCAAGTCCGAAGGCTCAGGTCTGCTACCACTGAACAGATGAAGAGAGACAGCTGAAGTATGCACATGCATACACTTGTCCTAGGGCAAAAAAGTTCAATAGTAATAATTTAAAAAAATAATCTTGGAACCCATTTGCCAAGATGCAGTGCTGAACAGAGAAAAATGAAACCATGAAACAAAAACAGAGGAGGGAACCACCTCAAAGTGACTAGCAGAAACAATTCTGATGAAGCTCAGGAGCTTGGCTGTGGTATCAATGAGGAGTAATGCCACTGAGTTCAACATGACAACACTGCCACAAGACTCAGAATTAGACCTAAAGGATGAAGAACGAGGAAGAGGATCAGTAGAAGGTGTACAAAAAGAAAGGGAGTGATTTTTCTACCAAGTTAATTTCACTATTGATTAATTAATTTCAGACCATTCTGTATGAGCATTTCCATTCTCAATAAAAAGTTTTCAAAGCAAAGCCATTGC